AATGGTGGCTCAAAACACTCTTTTTTTTATTACATGTATTTAGATTTGTATCGCACTTAAACTCTGACCCAACCACATGATTAAAAATTGAGAACTACTTACCACTATCCCTATCACGAGAAAAGTCTTCCCCAACCTATCAAAACCATGCCTATATATACCCCCACCTTTCCTATGCTAAAACCCACATCTTAAGAGACACTAAGCCAAAAAAAGGAGAGAGAAAACTAGGCCAAAAAAAGTGTTGTGATCGTGCAGCAATTATGATGAATAGTAAGGAATCAAACAATTAAGAAAGCAGGAGAAAATAACACACAGAGATTTACGTGGTTCGGCAATGTGCCTACATCTACGAGAGCGAGCGACTGTTCTTTTCTTTATTGAAGTAGGGTTACATCTTAAGTATTTATATAACCCTAATATGGACGTATTTACAAAAATACCCCTGTACCGTACCGCGGGGCGTTGCCCCCGCACCCCCAACTTATCAGCGTCCCCTATATATAAATCCCGCAAGGCAGATGCCGTCGCGGGCTCCGCTCCGGCATCTGCCTCCTTGCCATTATGCACATAGCAAAATATGAGCCACATATACTCTAACAATCTACTCCACCGGGGACGCTGAGTTGAGGCATCTCCCATCTAGCAACTAGAGACATTAATCAAGTCCAAGCAGTGCTTGAACTTGTCTGTAGTAACAGGCTTTGTCAACATGTCTGCAGCATTCTCAGAAGTGTGAACTTTCTCAAGTAATAGTTCACCAGAAGAAACCAGTTCCCTGATCTTATGAAACCTCACATCTATATGTTTGGTCCTCGCATGATACACCTGGTTCTTTGCCAAATAAATGGCACTCTGACTGTCACAATGCAATTGAACTCCACCTTGCTGGGCACCCAGCTCCTTGACTAAACCTGTAAGCCACAAAGCCTCTTTGGCAGCCTCAGCTACTGCCATATACTCTGACTCAGTAGTAGATAGTGCAATTATAGGCTGTACCATGGACTTCCAACAAATAGGTCCTCCCACAAGAGTAAACACATAACCTGTGGTAGACCTCCTGTCATCCAAGTCTCCTGCATAGTCTGCATCCACATATCCCATAACTGAAGGGTCACTCTGTTGTCTGCTAAACCTGATGCCATAGTCTGTAGTGCCCCTCAAGTATCTGAAAATCCACTTGACTGCATCCCAATGCTGTCGACCAGGATTTGAAAGAAACTTGCTAACCACGCTGACAGCTTGTGCCAAATCTGGTCTTGTACAAACCATAGCATACATCAAACACCCCACTGCACTAGCATATGGGACCTTTGACATGTCATGAACTTCATCATCTGTCTTCGGGCACTGAGCGGTAGACAATCTGAAATGATTCGCCAAAGGTGTACTTACTGATTTTGCATAACTCATGCTGAACCTGTCCAACACCTTCTCAACATAGCTATGCTGAGATAGCCATAATCTCCTGGAAGCTCTGTCCCTGCGAATCTCCATCCCAAGAATCTTCTTGGCCGCACCCAAATCCTTCATGTCAAATTCTCTACTCAACAAAGTCTTCAACTTGTTGACCTCACTCATACTCTTGGCAGCAATCAACATATCATCCACATAAAGTAACAGAAAAATAAATGAATCATCATCAAGCCTTTTTACATAGACACAACAATCATACGCACACCTTTTGTAGCCAATTCGGATCATGTAAGAGTCAAATCGTTTGTACCACTGCCTCGGAGACTACTTCAGCCCATAAAGTGATTTCTTCAAATTACAGACCAAATGTTCCTCTCCAAGGAGACTGAACCCTTCTGGCTGTACCATGTAAATCCGTTCCTCCAAGTCGCCATGAAGGAAAGCTGTCTTTACATCCATCTGCTACAACTGCATATCTGAATGTGCTACTAGTGCCAACACTGTCCTGATGGAAGTGTGTCTGACCACGGGGGAGAAGATCTCATCATAGTCAACCCCTTTTCTCTGTGAGTAACCCTTTGCTACTAGACGAGCCTTGAATTTTTCCCCCTCATTTTCTGATACTACTTCTTTCTTCTTATACACCCATTTGCACCCTATTGCTCTCTTCCCCTCGGGAAGTTCCACCAACTCCCACGTCTGGTTCTTATGCAGAGACTCCATCTCCTCCACCATAGCACCCATCCATCTACTTTTCTCTTGGCTTTGTACTGCCTCCTGAAAAGTTGTAGGATCCCCGCTACTAGTAATAAGCGCATAAGAAACCAAATCTTCAAAACCATACCTGGTAGGTGGCTTGATATTGCGTTTGGGCCTGTCTGTGGCTATACTATGATGCTGTTGATCACCTGAGATAGAACGCTCTACATGCTGAGCATCCTCTTCTCTACCATGATTCTCTAGCTCCACCTGCACCACGTGGTCATTAGTGCTACAGTTTTCTGGTACTTGTTTCTCTTCTTCCTGAGTACGCTGCAACATGGCTTTTTCATCAAAAACCACATCTCTACTGATCACCATCTTGTTTGTCTTCGGATCCCAGAGCTTGAAGCCTTTCACTCATCTCTGATATCCCAGAAAGATACACTGTCTAGACTTTGCATCAAGCTTCGACCTCTCCTCACTAGAAACATGTACATAGGCTGGACATCCAAACACTCTCAAACCAGAGTAGTCTACCTCACTGCCTGTCCACACCTCCTCTGATACTTTCCCATCTAGTGCTGCCCTCGGTGATCTGTTAATCAAGAAACATGCCATATTCACTGCCTCTGCCCAGAAATTCTTTGCAAGCCCTGCATTCAACCTGAGACACCGAGCTTTCTCGGCTATCGTTCTGTTCATCCTTTCCGCTACACCATTTTGTTGTGGTGTCTTGCGGACTGTGAAGTGTCTCTTGATCCCATGCTGCTCACACAACTGCTGGAATTTTGAATCTGTGTACTCAGTACCATTATCTGACCTGAGACATTTAATCTTCCTCCCTGTCTGGTTCTCTACTTCAGCTTTCCACAGGTTGAACTTGGCAAACGCTTCTGACTTGTGCCGCATGAAGTACACCCAGACCTTTCGTGAGTAATCATCAATGAAACTCACGAAATACATGTATCCTCCCCGTGATAGTACGCTGACTGGTCCCCAAACATCTGTATGGACATAGTCGAGAACCCCCTCTGTCTTGTGTGTGGCTGTCTTAAACTGCACCCTATTCTGTTTTTCAAGAACACAATATTTGCAAAAATTGAGCTTGCATGTCTTGACACCCTTCAATAGATTTTTCTTATGAAACTCTATCATCCCACGCTCACTCATATGACCCAGCCGCATATGCCACAAGACTGTATTATCTGATTCAGACTCTACAGCAGCAACTCCGCCTACAATTGTAGTACCCAGCAGTCTGTAAATGTTTCCTACTACTTTCTGTCCCTTCATCACTGTCAGCATGCCTTTACTTACTTTCATTACTCCACTTATAGATTTGTAACTATAACCATTACAATCCAAAGTGCCCAATGAAATCAAATTCTTCCTTAGATCCGGTACATGTCTAACATCACACAACGTTCTAACCATACCATCAAACATTTTAATTCTAATATTTCCTATTCCAACAACTTTGCAAGATGCATCATTACCCATCAGAACAGAACCAGAATTTACTGACCTGTAGGTGTCAAACCAATCTTTGTTGGATGTCATGTGATAGGAACATGCTGAATCCAGAATCCAAGAATCTGTTAAACGATCTGAACTAGATAAAACAGAAAGCATATCTCCGTCACCACTCTCTGAATCTTCTTCTTCCACTACGTTTGTAGACTTTGATGCACCCTCTTTGTTCTCTGAATCCCCTTTCTTTTTCTCTGGACAGTCCCGTTTAAAGTGCCCCTTTTTCCCGCACTTGTAACACGAGACAGAGACGTCCTTCTTTTTCTTCCTCGACTTGGACCGGGCTTTATTGTTACCCAATCCATTCCGAGATTTGCTTCTTCCACGTTCCTGGTTACCTTTCACCACAAGCCCTTCACCTTGTGAAGCCTCATCACTGGCTTTCTTCCGCTGATGAAAACCTAACAGAGCACCTGTGACATCCTCCAATTCGAGGGTTTCTTTCCCCCACATCAGAGTCGTAACCAAATTCTCGTACGTAGGAGACGCCGGTAAGGAATTCAGCAACATCAGCGCCTTGTCTTCGTCTTCGAACTTCACATCAACTCGCTTCAGATCGCTGATGATCTGATTGAACACGTTGATGTGTTGGGTCAAATCCGAGCCCTCTGACATCTTAAGACCATATAGTTTCTGCTTAAGATAGAGCTTGTTCGTCAATGACTTGGACATATACCTACTTTCCAGTTTCAACCAAACTTCCGCCGGTGATTCCTCATCCATGACGTGATACATCACTTCATCAGCCAGACAAAACCTAATAGTTGCCACAGCATTCGCTTCCAATTCTTTCCAATCCATGTCGTCCATTCCTGCCGGTTGTTTTCCGTATAATGCCTTCACCATGCCCTGCTGCACTAACAGGTCCTTCACCCTCCTCTGCCATAATCCGAAATTCCCAGTTCTGTCGAACTTCATGATGTCGAATTTTGTAGAGGAAATCCCAGACATCGTAGTCTAGCTCTGATACCAATTGTTGTGATCGTGCAGCAATTATGATGAATAGTAAGGAATCAAACAATTAAGAAAGCAGGAGAAAATAACACACAGAGATTTACGTGGTTCGGCAATGTGCCTACATCCACGAGAGCGAGCGGCTGTTCTTTTCCTTATTGAAGTAGGGTTACATCTTAAGTATTTATATAACCCTAATATGGACGTATTTACAAAAATACCCCTGTACCGTACCGCGGGGGCGTTGCCCCCGCACCCCCAACTTATCAGCGTCCCCTATATATAAATCCCGCAAGGCAGATGCCGTCGCGAGCTCCGCTCCGGCATCTGCCTCCTTGCCATTATGCACATAGCAAAATATGAGCCACATATACTCTAACAAAAAGAGAGAGAAAACAATGACGTTTCGGACAGTGGTGTTGCTCTGTTTCTTGTTTATCGTGGGAGCCTTGTCTCAAGGCGATGTCGGTTCGATCATCAGTAAAACCCAGTTCGATCAGATGTTGAAGCATCGAGATGATGTGGCTTGCCCTGGGAAAGGCTTCTACACTTATGATGCTTTCGTAGCTGCAGCCAAGTCATTTGGAGCCTTTGGAACAACTGGTGCCACAGACATTCGCAAGAGAGAAATTGCCGCTTTTTTGGCACAAACATCCCATGAAACCACAGGTATAATGTTTCCTTCAGTAATGTTGGCAACCATGTCCGGATCCATATGTCAATGAGATAGTGGTGCTTTTGATTCGACTTCTATTTTGCTTGAAATTCAACTTTAATTAAACCGGTCTTTGTTTTTGGTATTGTGTTTAATCAATCCAGTATTACTATATGCCAGATACGCCCTTCTGTATGTTCAAAAAATGACATGCATGGCCACAATGCACCTGGGGTGGAGATAATTAATGATACATGTAAAGGAACTAAACCCCAAGTTAACTAGCACATGAAAAAAGAAAAAAACGGTTCTTGTCGCTTTAGGTTTCTACAGGATCTTGATCGTTTATGTATTCATATCCCATATATGTCGAGGTTATTTCGGTGAAATGAAAAAGAATAATGCATGATAATATGATTACTCATATATTTTTGATGGATTAACATAGGTGGGTGGGCTACTGCCCCGGATGGTCCATATGCATGGGGATACTGCTACAAAGAAGAACAAGGCAACCCACCAGACTATTGTGTTGCAAATCAACAATGGCCATGCGTTCCTGGTAAGAAGTACTATGGTCGAGGCCCCATCCAAATCTCATAGTAAGTGTTTTCTTTTTCACTTTGGTTAGATAATCAACATATTAGAGCATGTTTTGTCCTCTTCTTCTGAATTGCATCCATCACAAAAACCTTAACGTTGTGCTTGCATGTGTACCATGATTTGCCAGCAACTACAACTATGGTCCAGCAGGAAGAGCCATCGGATTGAATCTGCTAAACAGCCCCGAAACCGTTGCAAACGATCCAGTAGTTTCTTTCAAGACAGCGTTCTGGTTTTGGATGACACCCCAATCGCCAAAACCTTCATGCCACGACGTCATCACCGGAACATGGAGGCCATCGGCAGCAGATACAGCAGCCGGTCGTGTCCCTGGCTATGGTGTGATCACCAATATCATCAACGGTGGAATTGAATGTGGTAAAGGTTCTAACCCGCAGGTGGAGGATCGGATCGGATCGGTTTCTACAAGAGATACTGTGACATACTGGGAGTCGGCTATGGCAACAATCTGGATTGCTACAACCAGAGGCCTTTTGCTTAGGCACTTAAAGGGGGCGCTCGAGCCTGTCTCCAGAGTTACTTATAGGAATAACATGTTTCATACATGCTTGTAATGTAATGTAATGAAGCAGTAATTAATCAGCATAGTTTGGCTTGCCAAAATAGTAATTTGGTGCCAAATATCTGTTTGTATCAAGGAAATAATCAATCAACAAAACTTTCTATATTTCAGATATATTGAATCTAATAGTTAAACACTGACATGACATTTTAAGGATTGAGGCGGCATATAGGGCTGTTCACCCTTCTATAGTTATGACTTATGAGTTACGGGAAACTATTTCTTTGGTCAAAATCTACATGATTGAGGGTAATGTTTCTAGTTGAATTACGTCCAAAAGATTCGCTCAAAAAATCACATAAAAATGTGGAATATTTCACATATTTTCAAACTTTAATTTATTAATTTTTGGGTTAATTTTACAACTCAGTTATCAAATTTTTTGATTACTTTTGCAACTAGATTATTAAAATATAGAAAAAATTACATTCAGATTTCTGAAATTTATATTTTTAAAGAGTTTAAGCTTCATGATACTTTTAGAGAGTTTCTAATTTATACTTTTGCAAATTAGAAATTTAGCGAGAAATTTTCGATTCAAAAGGATTTAGAATAAGTACCACTAAAACTAAGAATATATAATGTAACTTTATTAAAATAAAAAATTGAAATCATGAAGTATTAAAAATTGAAGATCAAGATATACCAAAAAATAAACTCTTTAAATATTTAGGGTCTATTATTCATAAAGAGCATATTGACAACGACGTTAGGCATATAATTAATGCTAGGACTAAATGGAAGAATGCATCCGGTGCATCCAATTTATAGTGTGATAGACATATTTCCCTAAAGTTAAAAGAAATATTTTATAAAACAGCTAAGACCCAATATGCTCTTTGGCATTAAGTGTTGAGCAACTAAAAAATAATATATTTAACAGTTGTGTAGCAAAAAATCAAAATGTTAAGATAGATGAGTGGTGAAATTAAGAAAGATAGAATTAGGAACGAATATATTCAAAAAAAAGTAGAATAATACAAATAAGAAATAAGTTAAGGGAGATTTTTTTTTTTATCAATTAAGGGAGAATCGACTTAAGTGATTTAGACATATTTATAAACGGCCTACTAAGGTACTAGTGAGGAAAAAAAAATAACTTATAATTTAATTATAAACATTGCCCTTAACAGAGCTCAATAGGCACGACCAGAAAAACGTGGAGACAATGCTTTATTGAGTTGAGATATTCTTTCTGTGTAAACTTTTGGGTCTTTTACTATGTAATCAACAGGATACTCTTTATTTTTCACTTGACCAATTGTGAAATCTATATGCATTGTTCTCTCAACCAAAAGAGTCCGTTGGGTTGGGTGATTTTCATGAAGTTGCAAAAGCTAGGTGCTATCCTTGGGGACAAACTGTCAAATTTAGGACTGCTTGCGCAGAACATAACACGGTCTCCTCCCTGTGGCACCAAGATATCCCAATGTAGTGCAGGGAGCATATGCAAGTAATTTAGTACATGAGAGTTTTGTCACTGCACGACCTGAGAAGGATCATATGTAGCAAACTTTATTTTGTCACATGTTGGTATGTAATCATGCAGAAAGAAATATGAGTGCGGTGGCAAAAAAGCGTCTCGTCTCTGTATAATGCTTCTGAGAAAATTCTCGGGCAATTTAACTGTGTAATTGCATCTGCCTTGTTGAAGAATACACAGTGCTGGAGGTTTCGTGATCGACCTTCTGTGTTATATTCCAACCAGAAATGACAGCATGAATTAACAGGAGCCTAAGAACTCCGAGCCCTCAATTTTGTTTCCTTAATGAAATGACAGTGATGCCAGGCCAGTAATCATCATCATGTTACAAACTATATGTTAAAGTGGTGAAGTAGTTAAAAGCTATGGCTAAAATAATTAACCACATTCATATTTTAACTGAGTAATTAACTGGAAGTTACAAGTCGGTAACTGTTGATGAGCGTAAAATCGTCAAAAACAATAATTATAAATTAACTTGTAATGGAGAAGATGAAAGATACACTCAAATTTTCAATGACCCTTGATTTGGGTATTATTAGGATTAGTTTTAGATTTATTTAGGAAACAGTTAGTCCCATAATTAAGACCGTTTATTTAGTCTTTTTGTAACAAAGTAATTAAGGAGTCTTCTTTTATCAATTTTTTGTACTGTGTGTTTGTTCATTATTTTTCATCTAAGAAAGTTATGAGATAAGACATTTGAACCCCTTACAACAAGCGCCTAAAAATTGTCTATCGATTGCAATATATTTATCGTTCCCAACAAATTTTGAAACAACAATAATATAAAGTTAGTGATGATCATAAATTTTCAATTGATTCATTTGTAGCTATTGATCATAAAAGTAATAACATAAATAAAAAGAAAAAAGAGGGATATAGTATAAAAATATTATTTTTGGTACCATAATTAATTCCCAATCGTTAAATTTAGACCTAGTCTTATCTTTTTGTTTCCCACGTTTTTTTGAATTCAAGTTTTGTACATGATCAATTTTATTAATAGAAGTCAAATTATCGATGAAATATGCAATCAAGATTATTATCCGTTAAAGATAAAGAGAATTGAAATTAAAATTTAGCATAACTAAAAATTAATTTTTTTTGAAGCAAATGTAAAATTAAAAATTTGTGTGCCTGGTCGAATATTGCAGAGAACCAAAGCTATGTTTAAAAAAGAAAAATTTAAGAAGACAAATGTTATTACAATTAGTTTGGAATAACGAGATACTCCTAATCACACTATTTTCGGGTTATTTTGTGCACTTCAAAAAATAATTAATAAAAAATCTAACTCATATTAAAACTGACCTTAATTTAATTTATACTACTAATAAAAGTACCTTAGATGAAAGACTTTTGATTAACTATTTTGTCCTTATAAAAAAATTATAAAGACTAACATCACCTTTTATATTTAAATATATAGATTATCATTATATCCTTATATATTTAAATAACAAATTAACCTCTAAGATATTATGTAAATCTTTATCTTTGTAAAACTTTTAAATAGTCATGTTACGTTTAATAGGATATATAAAAAATATTATTCTTTTTTTCTAAAACCCCAATATTAATACAAATCAACAACTTTATTGATACAATATTATCTCCGGTGCCAAAAAATCGATATATGTATTTTTTTTCTCTTCATTCAGAATACAAACAATTTAAGTATGATAAATATAAGATAATATCAAATTTAACTATATAATTAAATTTTTATGTATTTTATCAAATATCTTAACGAAAACTTTTACGTGCAACGCACGTGTTGCACTGCTAAACTAAAAAAAATATAAAGATGAAAAGTTATAACTAAAAATTATAAATTTGCAAATTATAAATATTAGCTAATAGACAATTAGTTAGATAGTTGATTTTGATAATAAGACAGTAAAAATATCTTATTAGGTGATATTACATAATTTCCATACACTCCAAGCATCGGATATGATAATAAATTGTGATTATTTGATTGATAGTGGACTTCATCCATTTACTCTCTATAGCTAAGTCAATAATCAAAATGCATTAAACTATCAAATTACGTCTACTAGCATGGAACAACACAAAGTTTTGGACAGAACCGATCCAACCAGTAGGTCAATAAATCATGAATTTTAGGCTCTATTATAAGAAAGATTCATAATTTTTAGGTGTGTAATAATAGCCCAAACAAATAAGCAAAATCCATAAGAAATATGCCCCACAAAAAATTTAGATATAAGTCCAAACAAAAAATTTCAACTTGCGTATATTGGGTTTTATGAAACACGGATACTTAGTTGAAATTGACGTACCCGTATCCGATACCGTATTGAATATGATATTCATCGGATACTCGAGGATAAATATCAGATACACCTTCTATGTATCCGATAATAATTAAATATTAGAATACTTCACGAAAATTTTTGTGGTAGAGCAACATATATAATTTTTGACTTAAACTTTTAACATATCTTTTAGAATTCACATATCATACAATACATTAACAAAAAATTCATATTACTTTAAAGGCACATGAGTGTTTCTTAAGTATTATCTACAATTACATGTCAAAAGAGTATAAAATAAAGCTACTATATTATTATCCTAGCAAAAATTACTTTTAAATAATAGATAAATATTAGTTTTAATTTCTTTAATTAGTCACTTCACTTTGTCAATATACTACAACGATACAATATATATTCTCTTCAAACTAAAAAAAGTTACTAATTTTCTTTATTGTATACTAAAGAACTACCAAAATATATAAGTATTAAGCTAGTTGAAAATTATAAAATAATAATTATATATTATTATAGTCGTATCTTAGCCGTAATCATATCCTATTTTTTTAGACTCTATCGAATTGCCGTATCCGTATCGTATTGTGCCCTATTCCGTTTCCGCATATGTGCTTCATAGATTGAGTCTATAATTAATTCTGCCCATAAAATTAAAAAGTCCTAAAATTTAATTTTTTGAAAGACAGAAAAGTTAATATTAAAACTAACACTACTAAAAATCAAGCCTTAAACATTCCCCCTACAAGAAAAAAAAATCAAATTAAAATTTACCATCATACACTCTCGCTCTCTCACCATCAAGTTCAAAAGATTGAATATAACAATCGTTTGAATATATAAACTTATTATTTTTATATTTTAAAAAATAAATAAATAATATTTAAATAAATTTACTATTCATATTAAAAAAAGTCTAATTGATAATTCTGCTTTAGGCCCTAAAATATTTGGGCCCGCAAGATTTTGGGACCCCAAAAAATGATCATCTATTTTTATAAAATTATAGGGTTATATATATTACTTGCCTTGAAATATAAAAAAAAATGATAAAGAGAATAGAAAATTAATATATATATATATATATATATAAAGAGAGTCTCAAATAAATTCATAACAAAGAATTTGGTAATAAGCTACATTCATCCTTAAAATGTCATGTCACTACTTAACTATTAGACTCGATCTATTTGAAATATGGGAAGTTTTATTGATCATTTCCTTGATACAGACATATATTTGGTACCAAATTACAATTTTGGTAAGCCAAACTATGCATATTAATTACTGCTTCATTACATAACAAGCATGTATGAAACATCTTATTCCTATAAGTGACTCTCAAGACGGCTCGATCTGTCCTTTAAATGTCTAAGCAAAAGGCCTTTGGTTGTAGCAATCCAGATTGTTGCCATAGCTGACTCCCAGTATGTCACAGTATCTCTTGTAGAAACCGATCCGATCCTCCACCTCTAGGTTAGAACCTTTACCACATTCAATTCCACCGTTGATGATATTGGTGATCACACCATAGCCTGGGACACGACCGGCCGCTGTGTCTGCTGCCGATGGCCTCCATATTCCGGTGATGACGTCGTGACTTGAAGGTTTTGGTGATTGGGGTGTCATCCAAAACCAAAACGCTGTCTTGAACGAAACTACTGGATCGTTCACAACAGTTTCGGGATTGCTTAGCAGATTCAATCCGATGGCTCTTCCTGCTGGACCATAGTTGAAGTTGCTGGCAAGTCATGGTAGACGTCCGAATACAAAGTTAAGGTTTTGTGATTGATATAATTCAGAAGAAGAGGGCAAAACATATTCTAATCTGTTGATTATCTAACCCAAGTGAAAAAGACAAACACTTACTATGAGATTTGGATGGAGCCTCGACCATAGTACTTCTTACTAGGAACGCATGGCCATTGTTGATTTGCAACACAATAATTTGGTGGGTTGCCTTGTTTTGAAGCAGTATCCCCAAGCATATGGACCATCCGGGGCAGTAGCCCACCCACCTATGTTAATCCATCAAAAATATGTAAGTAATCATGTTATCATGCATTATTCTTTTTCGTTTCACAGAAATAACCTCTACATATGCTGGATATGAATACATAAACTATCGAGATCCTCTACAAACCTAGAGCGACAACAACCTTTTTTCTTTTTCTTTTTCTTTTTCCATTTGCTAGTTAACTTAGGGTTTAGCTCCTATATATCTATCACTAATATCTCCTCCCCTCATGCATTGTGGCATTGCATGTCATTTTTCGAACATACAGGAGAACTTAACTGGCATATAGTAATACTGGACTGATCAAATACGAGACTAAAAACAAAGTTCGGATTAATTAAATTTGAATTTCAAGCAAAATAAAAGTCGAATCAAAAGCACCACTATCTCGTTAACACATGGCCACTATCTCATTAACACATGGATCCGGACATGGTTGCGAACATTAGGTTGGAAATATTATACCTGTGGTTTCATGGGAAGTTTGTGCCAAAAAGGCAGCAATTTTCTCTTACGAATGTCTGTAGCACCAGTTGTTCCAAAAGCTCCAAATGACTTGGCTGCAGCTACGAAAGCATCATAAGTGTAGAACCCTTTCCCAGGGCAAGCCGCATCATCCCGATGCTTCAACATCTTATCAAACTGGGTTTTACTGTAATCGACCCGACATCGCCTTGAGACAAGGCTCCTATGATAGACAAGAAACAGAACCACACCACACCCCAAAAACTCATTTTTTCTCTCTCCCTCTTTATTTTGGCTTAATTGGTGTCTCTTAAGATGTGGGTTTTAGCGTAGAAGAGGTGAGGTATGTATAGGCATGGTTTTGATGGGTTGGGTTTGGGTTTGCTTGGGGGAGGGGGGGAAGGTGATAGATTTTTGTGCTGAACATTTTAATCATTGATTATCAATTTTTAATTTCTAACGATGTGGAGTCATCGCTAGATGTACTTATCTTAATTAGGGGTGACAAACAGATGCCGTAAAGAAGACTCTAACTATTGAGTTAAGTAGGGCAGTAAAAGATCATATTCGATTCATTGTTTTTCTTCTTCAATTGATCAGAGTTATGTTATTCCGTGACTCCCACTAAACTTTTCTTATGATAATATTAATGTATGGATATTTTAACCATTGATTGACCGATTTTAAAAGTTGTATTAAACTCGATCTCTAATTATGTCCTCTAAAAAGCATGTGTTTTTGAGTTATCACTACATGTATCCATCTTGAAATTTTACCCAAATCTCAAGACACGAAAAATGGGTAAAATTCAATTCTTTACCAGAAAACTTGATACAACCTTAATTAAAATACTAAAATCTATCCTAAACTAATACAAAAACTACAACTAATGATGCCCAAGCCATGAGATGTTTTGAATCATCTTTTCGCATCTCTGGATGTTATGAATTTTCTCATGAGCTTAATCAATAGTGATATTTTGTAGGATATTTGTGGAGATGATTGCAGTAAAGAGAATGGACCTTGGACCTTGGACCTTGGACCTGAAGAGAATGTACCTTTTGGATAAGTTAGGCAGGACGATAAGGGTAGGGTCTTTGTCGCCTTGCTTGTTGAATAAGACACATGTATTACCAGTGTACTACTAATTAAAAACAGTCAAGATCTCCGGTCGGTGTCTAGAGGCCGCCTCCCTAGTATTTTTGGTTCCTCAAGAATATATTTTTTGTTAATTTAATGTTATATTTTTTGTTAATTTAATGTTATTGTATTATTTTTTTTAATTTAGGCTTTAAAATATTTAAATTCGTGTCATTTTAGTCATTAATTAGACAATCTATCAATTTTTTTACGAAAGAGATCACGTATTATTTTTTTAGACAGTGTCATACGCTCAATATGCGATCATTCAGTCAAAAATTTAATAGTTCGTCTTTGCACAAGTGTAGAGTGGCAATTTTTGACACAACATGAAAATAAGACTTGAAATTGACACAAAATTAACAAAGTAGGGTTAGCCATTTTTCGACACGAACCCGTATATGACACGATTTCGTAACACGAATAATAAATAAGTTGGAATTTGATCAAATATGATCAATACATTTAAATAGTGTTATAAGAATAAAATGTCAATTTTTATTATATTTTATCAAATAGTGACCTAATTTGTGTACAAAGAAAAAGATATTTTTACTTATTTTTATTATTATAATTATTAAGTTAATTTTTAGTTTAGAGAAAAAAATATGAACAAAAGTTCGATTAAGCGACAATAAAATTTTATACATAAAACTTATTGATGGGTTATATCGGCTAACATGAAAATACATAAGTCAATACGATACTATTAATTAAATGAGTTGATTAAAATTAATTAATATTCATCATAAACATAAAATAATCCGATACGAACATGACCCGACACAGCACAATTACGAACTTTGAATACGAACGCGACCCGACACAACATAAAACTAGACTTGATAATCACAACCATTGAATAGGTAGTGAGTCTCAATAAATCTTGGGACCTACAGTAAAAAATTAATGATTGTAATTATCAAGTCTAATTTTTAAGTTTAATTTGTAAGTCCTAGCATTACTCAAAAAGAAGTAGTGTATGTTTTTTCTGCCTATTTTTCTCATATTAAATGATGATATTATGTGACGGTGATGATAAAGTGTCACCATTTTCTTGAACTAGAGATAACTCATGTTTGAAGCTATAATATAATGTGAATAATTTTAATAGGGATGTTGATAGCCGTTAAATGAATTTCTTCGATATCATTGTATAAACTGATTAAAATATATCTTATTTTATATTACAGATGTTTAGCCATGTTCACCGATTTGATGGAAAGCCTTGAGCGGCAGCCTCTAGACACCGATTTGGTTCTCGACTGTTTTTAACTGGTAATAGACGTGTCCTTATTACCCTGAGGCCACAAAAACTCTTACAGTCCGGCCTAACTAGTCCAAGGTACATTTTTTACCGTAATCATCTCCACAAATATCCTAGACTTGATTGCGGTACCTAAAAAAAAGATCGGCAACATACTTTTAATATTTATTATTTTTATTGTTATTTTTATAATTTTTGTGAGTTATTTTATAACTAAAAAAATTTATTATTTTTATGAATATTTTTATCATTGTTATAGGTATTTTTAATTATTTTTATCACTTTTTTTGGTACAAAAAAAAATATAACTTTAGTGACCGATTTATCATATTTGTAAGTATTTTTATTATTACTGTGATAACTATTTTTAACACATTTATTCTGTGCTACAACAATAGTAAAAATGTCCATAAATGTAATAAATCACTTATAAAAATGGTATTTTTGTACTCAAAAAAATAATAAAAATAATTACCACAATAGTAATAAAAATACTAATAAAAATAATAAATTCTTTAATTATAAAATGATCCATTAAAATTATAAAAATATCTATTAAAGTAATAAATTTTAAAAATTAAGTACCCATTTTTTTCGCGTACCATAGTCAAGTCCAAACATTTTTAATGCAAGCTCTCAAGGATGGTAAATCAGTTGAGTTTTTTTCTCGTAAGAATTGGAATGTACCTTTTTTTTTTGTGTCTTGAGTTTAGGACTCCAAAAATTTTTGTGCATGGAGTCAAGATAAGATAAGATTGCTCAAATTAAAGTAATAAAAAAAGTTCCCTACCTCCCATCTTCCGCGATTCAAGCAAATCACGACGGACACTAAAGGGGATACCTGTAGTGATGAATTAAAACAATTTTAAAATAGCAATAGTAGAAACGAATTATAAATTCAGATGTTTTTAAATTTATATTTTGGTAATTTTTTGAGGTTAGATCATGCGAAATTTATCTTTTATAAATATCTGATTCTTGGTGTGGATAATTTGTTTTGGATCAAATTAGAGATGAGACTAGTCAAGATACATACAAACTAATCAGGACACCCATCGAACCCAAAAAAAAAATCAAAAACACAATTTTTTTTTAAGAACTAATTAGGAATCTTAGGTCAATACAATAATTAAAAACTGTCAGTAAAAGGGTAACACTATTATACAGTCAAACTATTTTTTTGATATCGAAAAGCGAGGTGGGCTGTATTTGTGACACGTATGTCATTAAAATTGGTGAAACTGGTTGTTTTAAAAAAATAGTACCTAGCCCAAAAGAGTTGTAACATATCCAATATCCAATAAAGTTGTATCTAGTTCAAAAGAGTTGTACCTTATCTAATAAAGTTGGAACTCCTACCCAAAAAGTTAGAATCCCTATTCAAAAAAGTTAAAATCAACCCCAAAAAAGTTGGAATCTCATACCAAAAAAGTTGAAACCCCTACCGAAAAAATTAGAACCCTACTTAAAAAATTTATAATTCAATTTAAAAAGAGTAAAAACCTCAAGCAAAAATTGAAACCCAAAGAGTTGGAACCTCTGCCTAAAATCATCCCTAAAAAGTTATAACTCAATTAAAAAAATTGGTTACATGTTGCACCCCGAAAGATCATTGGAATCTTAATTTGTACCCTTAAAGATCAAAAATCTCAATTTACACCCTCAAATATAGAAATTTGTATCAATGTGCACCCCCAAAGATAAAAAATCTCTATTTACACCCTCAAAAATAAAAATCGGTATCAATGTGCACCTAAAATTAAATTGATAAATTATACCTAGATCCCCTTATGTTTGTCACTTAATCATTTGAACCCCTTCATATTTAGAATATTATCCCTACATCTCATGACGTTTGTACATGTGTAACACATAACTACTTTTCGTTAATATCTGTTAATATAATCGTTAAAAAATATGATTTTATCTTAATAAAAAATTATAATTTCATATTACCCTTTATTTTGTAGATTCGATATACTCTAAAGTTCAAAATTAAACTTACCATTTGAATGTCTAATATAACGTAGATACTTATATAAAGGAAAATATGAAAAATATTATATAAATATCTACATTTTATTAGACATTCAAATAATAAGCTTGATTTTGAACTTTAGAGTATATTGGATCCATAAAATAAGGGTAATATAAAATTATAATTTTTTATTAGGATAAAATTATATTTTTTAACGGTTATATTAACAGATATCAATGAAAATGAGTTACATGTTGTACGTGCACAAATGTCATGAGATGTATGAGTAATATTCTAAATGTAAAGAAGTCAAAATGATTAAGTGACAAGCATGAAGGAATTTAGGTATAATTTATCAATTTAGTTTTAGGTGCATAATGATACAAATTTCTATTTTTGAGAGTGTAAATTGAGATTTTTTATCTTTAGGGTGCACATTGATATAAAGTTCTATCTTTGAAAGTGCAAATTGAGATTTTTAATTTTTGAGGGTGTACATTGATACAAATTTCTATCTTTGAGGGTGTAAATTGAGATTTTTGCTCTTTGAGCGTACAAATTAAGATTCGAACGATTTTTCGGGGTGTAAAATGAGATTAATCCTTAATTGAAAGGTGAGCCAAAAATATAAACTAATGCATAAAAATTGAAACTGTATCCCAAAAAGTTAGAATCACCCCCAAAAAAATAATTCAATTCTAAAAAATTAAACCTTATACCAAAAACTTATAACTCAATCCAAAATAGTTGAAATCTGACCAAAATAGTTATAATCTAGCTAATTTTAGTCACCCCCAAAAAATTGGAACTCAATTCAAAAAAAGTTATAACCCTGACCCAAATAGTTGGAAGCATTATTTACAATTCTTTTAATTATTTGATTTTATTCATTATTTATGTGTTGGTAATAAAAAAATAGGACTATTTAAAAAATATTGAATATTTTTGGACTATAGTACAATTTTTTTGATTATTTAGGAGATAAAAGTGTGATAGTTAAGGGATAAAAGTGTGATAGTTAACGAATAAAAGTGTAATGTTTACCCTCGGTCTCCCATTTCTTGGACTGGTCCTAATTCTTCACATGTAAATTACACTTACACCCCACATATTACAATATATTATTTTTTTTATTTTCTAAGCGAATATTGTAGTGCACAAAATCACAAAAACCTTATCTTCTTCCTCCACCCACTTTTCTGCCCAAACAATTTTTCACTTCTCTTCCCTTCCCTCCATCACTTTTCCCGCCCAAACCATTTTTTACTTCTCTTACATTCCCTCCATTTCTTTTACCAATTCACTTCTCTTACATTCCCTCCATTTCTTTTACCATACATCCCTTCTCCTTTTCACCATACAAAAGTATTTGTTTGGTTTAGAACTTGGTGTTAATATGATAAATTGAATGTTTATTTGATGAAATTGAATATTTATTTGGTATAAATTTGATGAATTGAATATTAAATGTTATTAGATGAAATTGAATATTAATTCGTAGAATTGAATGTTAATTTGGTATTGATTGATAAATTAAATATTTATTGAATGAAATTGTATGTTACTTAGATGTTGGGTTGTTAAATTGAACCTTTATTGGATGAATTTTTATGCCAATTTTATAAATTGAGTGCTAATTTAATGAATTTGAATATAAATTAGATGAATTAAATGTTAATTTTGTGTTAATTTGATGAATTGAATATTAATTTGATATGATTGAATGTTAAGTTGATGAATTAAATATTTTATTAGATGAAATTGAATGTTGATTTGAAGAATTGAATGTTAATTTGTTATTTATTTAAAAAATTAAATGTTTATTGGGTGAAATTGCTTGTTATTTTTGGTGTTAATTTGTTAAATTGAATCTTTATTAGAGGGTTTTCGATGTTAATTTTATGAATTGAATGTTAATTGAATGAATTTGAATATAAATTGGATGAGAATGAATGTTATGTTGATGAATTAAATGTTTATTAGTTGAATTTTAATGTTAGTTTAATGAATTAAATGTTTATTAGGTAAAATTAAATGTTGATTTAACGAATTAAATGTTCCAACATTTAATTTTACCTAATAAACATTTAATTCATTAAACTAATATTAAAATTCAACTATTAAACATTTAATTCATCAACGTAACATTTAATCTCATCCAATTTATATACAAATTAACACCTAATTAACACAAAATATTACTTGAAGGTGAAATATAGGGAACAAAATAAAAATATTGTTATATTTAAGGGTGTAAATGTAATTTACTTATGGATGAATTAAGACCGGTCGTTGGAATGGCTGACCGATCCTGGTGTAATATTATACTTTAATCCTTTAATATTACACTTTTATCCTTTAATATTATACTTTTAACATTTTGATATTACACTTTTAACCTTTTGATATTATAATTCATCAAATTAACATCCAAAATCATTTAATAAATATTCAATTTATCAAATCAACATCAAAGAAACACGCAATTTCATCCAATTAATACTCAATTCATCAAAGTTACACCAAATTAACATTTAATTCTTCAAATCAACATTTAATTTTACCTAATAAACATTTAATTCATAAAATTAACATTAAAATTCAACTAATAAACATTTAATTCATCAACTTAACATTCAATCTCATCCAATTTATATTCAAATTCATTCAATTCATAAAATTAACCCTCCAAAAAAAGATTTAATTTAACAAATCAACACCAACGTAACACACAATTTTATCCAATAAACATTGTATAAATAACAAATTAACATTTAATTCTTCAACTTAACATTCAATTTCATCTAATAAACATTTAATTTTTCAACTTAACATTCAATCACATCCAATTAATATTCAATTCATAAAATAAACGCAAAATTCACATTCAATTCATCGTATTTATATTCAAATTCATTAAATTAACACTCAATTTATCAAAAATCATCCAATAAAGATTCAATTTAACAAATCAACATCAAAGTAACATACAATTTTATTCAATAAACATTTAATTCATCAAATCAATACTAATTTAATATTCAATTCAACAAATTAACATTCAATTTCATCTAATAACATTTAATATTCAATTCATCAAATTTATACCAAATAAACATTCAATTCATCATATTAACACCAAATTAAAATTCAATTCATTTAATTAATATTTAATTCATCAAATTAAAAACAAATAATCTAATAAAGATTTAATTCATCAAATCAACCCCAAATTAATATTCAATTCAACAAATTAACATTCAATTTCATCTAATAACATTTAATATTCAATTTATCAAATTTATACCAAATAAACATTCAATTTCATTAAATAAACATTCAATTCATCATATTAACACCAAATTATAATTCAATTCATCCAATTAATATTTAATTCATTAAATGAAAATAAAAAATCATCTAATAAAGATTTAATTCATCAAATCAACACCAAATTAACATTCAATTTTACAAATTAACATTTCATTTCGAATAATAAACATTCAATTCATTAAATTAACATTTAAATTAAATATTTGAAATTAAATTCATCAAATTAAGATTAAATTTCATCCAATTCATTAAATTAACACCAAATTAATATTCAATGCTTCAAATTAACACTAAATTAACTTTCAATTCATCAAATTAACACAAAATTAATATTCAATTCATCAAATTCACATTCAATTCCATCTAATAAATAATTAATTCATAAAATTAACTTAAAATTCAATTTCATGAAATGAATATTCACTTCATCGAATTAATACTAAATTAACATTCAATTCATCCAATTTATATTCAAAATCATTCAATTAACAATTAATTCTTCAAATCAACATCCAAAATCATCTAATAAAATTCAATTTATCAAACCAACACCAATGTAATATAAAAATTTATTAAATAAATGTTTAATTTATCAAATCAACACCAAATTAACATTCAATTCAACAAATTAACATTTCGTTTCATATAATAAGCATTCAATTCATTAAATTAACTCCAAATTGACATTCAATTCATTAAATCAATACCAAATTAACATTCAATTCATCAAACTAACATCAAATTAATATAAATTGTATGAATTGAATATATATTTGGTATTGATTTCATCAATTGAACATAAATTTAGTGTTAATTTGACGAATGAATATGTAATGGATGAATTTAATGTTAATAGTTGAATTTAAATGTTAATTTTATTAATTGAATGTTTATTAGATGAAATGTAATGTTAATTTAGTGTTCAGTTAATGAATTAAATGTTTCTATGATTAATTTTCATATTACTTTGGTGTTGATTTGATAAATTGAATTTTTATTAAATGATTTTAGATGTTAATGTTGATAAATTGAGTGTTAATTGGTTGAATTGAATGTCGATTTAGTGTTAATTTGATGAATTAAATATTAATTGAATGAATTAACTATTAATTTGGTATTAATTTGATGAATTAAATATTAATTAGATGAAATTGAATGTTATTTTAATAAATTGAATTGAACTTTATCCTCAAACAAGTTATATGTACAGTAAAGGGAGGTAAGAGAAGTGATATGGGCAGCAAAAGAAAGAAAAGGCAGGAACGGGATAAGTGCACGATGTTAGTGTTAAAGGAGCAATTATCTCCAACACCAAGAATGGGTTGCAAATCAAATCATGGTAGGTAATCTTGTTTACCACTCTTTTTCAATTTCTATGTTCATTGTTGTGGGTCTTTCTCTTAAAGCATCCCAAGTTTGTTAGGAATTCCAAAGACTACTGGCAATAATATTTTTCTAGTTTCTTATGTATTTCTTGTTAGTTTTGTTTAGGACATGATGCAAAAATTTGATCTTTGACTGCATTTAAGTCTTTGTTAAAAAATTCGACTAGATGGCTACTTAGACATAAAGTTATTTAAAGTTTTTCAATTTGGATTGATCATTTGCCCATCTAGAGCGCTTGCAAGGCAGGCTTATGAAGTTGTGGAACTGTTTTTGATATCAATGAGGGAGCATGGATACCCAGAATTGAGGCCATTGCTTTGTATTGGTGGTGTTGATATGCGGTCACAATTGGAAGTTGTGAAGAAATGTGTTCATATTGTGGTTGCTACACTTGGGAGGTTGAAGGACATGCTTGCTAAATGAAAAGAGAGAAGGGGACTTGGGAGGCTCTTGGTGGGTTGTTGGATAATCACAAAATCGATGATGCGGTGCTGGAAGGTAATATTTAACTACATGAGCTGATGAATTTACGGATAGTTTGATGTGCTTTTTGAGTGTGTCTTCTTGCCCCTCCATGAATGAAACTGCTGATGATTTTACTTTCCAAAATTAAAAAGGATACACCTGATAAAAAGTAGCGAACATAGAGTCAGAATGGTTCACCACTCATGAATGAAATTGCTGGTCGTCTTTGTTAAACAGCTCACAACAAGCAATATCACTATCCACTATGATCACAACTTTTTTTTTTTCACATTCGAAACTCTTTATGAAATCTCTAGTCTTCTTCGTTGCCATGAGTTTGATCTGAAGATGAGACAAAAATTGTAACACCAACGTTACCCACCTCTGACCATATAACCTACCGAATAATTTGATGAGTTAAATATTAATTTGGTGTTAATTTCATAAATGAATATTAGTTAGATTAATTGATTGTTAATTCAATAAATTTGAATATAAATTGGATGAATTGAATGATAATTTGTTGAATTTGAATGTTAATTTGATAAATTAAATGTTTATTACATGAAGTTGAATTTGATTTGAAGAGTTGAATGTTAATCTAGTGTAAATTTAATGAGTTGAATATTAATTGGATTATTTTATTGGATGATTTTGCTTGTTAAATGTATATCTAGGACTATTTGAACACAAAATTAAATATTTTAAGGGTTAAATTAAAAAATTAATATTTTAAGGACCAGATTAATAAATATGTATAATTTTAGGGATGAAAGTGTAAGTCTTCAGCTACGACTGATCGTCGCTTCTTAGGACCGGTCATAATATAAAAAAAAGTTAATTACACTTTTATCCTTAAAGTTATATATATTTATGGTTCCTAAAATATTAATTTATTAATTTTATCCCTAAAATATTTAATTTATCAAATTAACATCCAAAACCATTCAATAAATATCCAATTTATCAAATCAACATCAAAGTAATATGCAATTTTATCCAATTAATACTCAATTCATCAAATTTACACCAAATTAACATTTAATTTTACCTAATAAACATTTAATTCATTAAATTAACATTAAAATTCAACTAATAAACATTTAATTCATCAACATAACATTCAATCTCATCCAATTTATATTCAAATTCATTCAATTAACATTCAATTCATAAAATTAACATTTAAATTAACTATTCCATTTTGTATAATAAATATTCAATTTATTAAATTAACATTTAAATTAACTATTTGAAATTAAATTCGTCAAATTAAGATTAAATTTCATCCAATTAATATTCAATTCATCAAATTAACACCAAATTAATATTCAATTCTTCAAATTAACACTAAATTAACTTTCAATTCATCAAATTAACACAAAATTAATATTCAATTCATCAAATTCTCATTCAATTCCATCTAATAAATAATTAATTCATCAAATTAACTTAACATTCAATATCATCAAATAAATATTCAATTCATCAAATTAAGACTAAATTAACATTCAATTCATCCAATTTATATTCAAAATCATCCAATTAAGACTCAATTCATTAAATTAACATTCAAAATCATCTAATTAAATATTAATTTGATAAAATTGAATGTTAATTTAATGAATTGAATGTTCCTTTGATGTTGCTTTGATAGTATTTTGTGTTGGGTTACACTTTTTCTTGAGTTGCGACCGATGTGGATGATGGATCCAATAAAAGTAGGAAATGAATTTTTTCAAAAAATTCAACTGTTTCCTAAGGAAACATCCCATCCACATAACACGTCCTTTCCTGCCAGTGAAAGATATAGAAATGGTTGGTAGCTAAGTATATAGAATGACTTCCCTTCATATAAGTCCCGCAACGAGTGCAACCCTTGTCTGAGTTGGTTTTTTTTTTTATCAGATTGGACTGGGTTTGTGGAATGTGACATTTTTGTGTAATTACAGCAAAAGTACAGGTGCGAGATCAGATGTTGTTGTGGTTGATCCTCTTTGGAAGGGGCTGGACCCGTGTCTGGTTAGTGCGTTGCGGACTATATCATCGGTGGAGCACAAAGCCAAGTTACCTGAAGGGTAGTTCTGTTTCTGTGATTCTGTCCAATTGAAATCTAGAATATCAACAAGTATTCAAGTAATACAATACTTTGAGGACATTTAGTGCTTGAAAAGATGGTGCTTACTTCAATTGATTATTTGTACTTCAGTCTTAGCTTAAAGCTCAAAAATGAAAAGAGACCTTCGAATCTACATGCAAGAGAAGCTTCGGTTTAGATTCAAAGCAGAACAACACATGAGGAAATATAGTCATTGCCTCAGATTCTTATCTTATTTGTATAAGTTGTGGGTGGGAAAGTTGTGGCTTTTATGCTATACATGGTTCCGAATAACTACCATTCATTTTCAAAGTGGAAGTGTGAATCATTTTGTAAAGCTTCTAATATAGCAATTGTCTCACAGGATTGCATGTCAGTGTTATCTAGTAAGCCAAGACATGTGGACAAAGCCTATGGTTTCAATTTCTTTCCACGGAGCATTTTGAGTTAAACTTATCTGGGTTCATCTTTGCATGATTGTTCAACCGATATTGAGTTCGTAACATATTGGGACAAAAGATAAGCGCATGTCCTAATGCAATTGTGCAGATTAAATATTTTTCTTCATAAGTTTTCATATTCTCCAACATATTCACAGGTTCTTGTGAACGCCAAAAATATGAAGTTATAATTGGTTGGTTTCTCAGGAAAAAAATATAAATGCTGCCATGTGGCTGCCTTAATTTGTGCATCGCATGGATTGCACTGTTTGCTATTTTTTTTTTTTATGATTGTAAACTGTGCAAGGTGATAATGAACAAATATGATGTTCGTTACAATGGAGATTTATTGTATGATTTCACCCTACCAACAGATCAGTGGTATAAATCAAACTCTGAAATCCGCTGCAAAATTTTGAACTCAACATGTTTGTGTAATTATCGTCTACATATAAATCAAATAAATACACTGATTTGTGGCCAAGTGATTTACATTGTCGAATTTGCCAGTGAAACAATGCAATAAGAACAGTAACAACGCTTAGCCACACAAATAAACACTCAGAGCTATGGATTTTTGGCTTGAAATCATGCATTTTTCACCCTCTTCATGTATAATCTGTAACTGATTTAGTTTTCATTACCACTTTCTTCTCTCTCTATTTATTGATTCATTGTTGGATCAGGGATAATTCAGTTACATATCCCTCTAATTTTCATGTAACTATAGTCTGATATAATGAAAACATACTTGTATCATTTATTCAACATCACCATGTATAAGATAAAAGAACATTAATGAAAAAAGTAAAGTTATGGAAGCATATAAAATCCGAATCCAAACATCTCCTCAAGAACTTCATCAGATCATCAATATTTGAGCTTTGGTTCCCAACCTAGCAACTCCTTCGCCTTTGTGATGTCTAGTTTTCTGTGGCGGAGATCATCTAGTGTGTTCTCCACAGTTCAAGCATTGTGAATTCACTTTATAGTTAAAAAAAAATTGAATTAGTAATAGTTACAAGATCATAATTTCTGCTAAGAAAGAAAAGGAAAAAGACTGAAAGATTGTATTTAAACACAAATATTATTGTGCATCAAGTCAATCAAATAACCTGGGTTCCCAATGTTGATTGACCCAGTATTATCTCTATCCATAAGTCGGATTAGACCATCAACTTTCAACATTTGTAAAGAACAGTAAGGCAACATAGAATTCTATGGTTCTAACACACTTGAGATTCAATTTGAAAGGCCAAATACACAATGCTCTTCATACCATGTCAGAGACATAACAAAAGCTCCGAGTTTGTGTTTATGGGAACTGAACAGTCAAGGGTTCATCCCTACATAAATTGACATAGACAGTTAAAAATTTAACTACAACTCTCAACTGTTTATCTCATGCTCAAGTAATGGATGGTGCTGGTGTATACAAAGGAGCATGCTAAGTAAAGAGTTCGTAAATATGCATATTTGCGATGAAATCTAAGAACTGCATCAGTTATTTAGAACTTTTGTGATTAAATTTAGCATACAATTTGCTCGAAAGTCAACCCACAAGTGGGCTTATGTTTAATAAAATTTATTAAACATGATTAAACAAAACTTCTAATCGAACGAATGAATTAATAAGGAAACAGAGTCACTTAATTATCGAACAAGAGCTAAATTGATAGCTTTTTACTCCGAGGATGTCCTTGGTCTTTCTTATCATCAATAAAATATTTTAATTTTTGATCACAAAAAGGAAGTAATATGCTAACAAGAAGTAACCACTATCATATTCTTAGTTTACCTGATACAACACATAATTCTCATAAATTTTGATAGGTACTCTCTTCATCTAAAATTGTGTGTTCCAAACACCATGAAGAAAAGATCTTTCAAGCAAAAGAATAAGGTGCATGTACCTTAGGAGCCAGAACAAGCATGAATTTAAACGTCAATTCCCGAAGAAATGCAAATGTATATGAGAATCTGGTAGCAACATGAGGGTAAACCTAATCAAAGTCATGAGTAAGAAGGATTAAAAAGGTTGTGCTAAGAACATCAATAAAATCTATGTGCTTGAATCATATGAGTTAACTGGTGCTCGATTCCTATTTGCTTTACTGACCAAATCATGAGCACCATTATATGAATATTGTGGGTGTGGGGGTTAGGGGAGGGTTCAATACAGACAAGCACAAAGAAATGAAGAAAAGACTAAATAAATCATTGAAGGAGCTAGTCTGGGGAATGGCAGTGAATTGTGATCAACACTAATAATATAAGTAGCCAATGAGATCAAGTGAAAAATAATGTGAAATGAAACTCACTCATCCTTCAGCGTCTGAATTTTGTTTGGATTTGTCTCACGAATGTGTTTTTTGAACTGCTGCCTCACCATATCAACAACAAGATCCGTATTATGTTGCTGCATATTAATTATAATAGAAGAACCATGTTATGTTTGGGCAACAATTCATTCTAAAACCCCGACAGATCCTCAACTATGAATCTTATGTAAAGTATAACTACTCATTCACTTAAGTCAAATTGTCAGACACTAAATTGAACTATCAAGAAAATAGAACAAACTGGTATCTAGTGTTGTCTTTCCAAAACTAAATCTGTTAAGGTTAGGGGAAAAAAATATTCATCTTTTTTTTTTTCCTTTTTTGATTAGCAACAAAGAAATTTTAGTAGAACTGAATAGAAAACACACGAAGGACAAGATTCCAAAATTTTTTACACGAAGTAAAGATTAAAATCAAAAGCAAAATATATCTCACAAACAGATTTCTAATTCATCCTTAAAAAAAATGAATTCTCCCAAAATTAGGAAAACCCAAATCCAAAAGAAAGCCAAAAGACGAATTCTTTCTAAACCAATACTCATTGGCACCCCTCATCTAATTTTCTCAAGAATCAAATCAAAACCAAGCTTGAAACATTGATATATACAAGATAATACAAAAGATGAAGGGAGATAGAAAGGGAGAAATATTGCGTACCTGATGACCGACATATTTAGCTATTTGGAGGTATTCCTGATAGAGCTAAAACACCAATATATTAATTAATAAAAAAAATAGAACATAATCATAGTAACTTAAATTATACTCATTTCAAATATTTGAATAACAAAACACAAATACATTTCGCATTACGATTAATGTATGCACATAATTGCAGAATTATTTCCTCAAAATAAAAATAAAAAAGGAAAAAGAATGAATGAAACTAACTCGAAATGACATTGTTGGCAAGTTTAGGTGGCAGCCCTGTTTGTAGAGACGACATGATTAGAAAAACCCTAATAACAAATCAACTGAATTCAAAACAAACAAGTAATGAAGTTCCTGAATAATGGCTCAATCGTTCAACCAAATGAAGAATGCAAAGAATCACAAGGTAAAAGCAAAAAAAATCATTGGAATAAAAAATAAGATCAAGACAAATAGTTTAGCATTTAGATTAAAACAAATCTTTCAATAGTAAAAAAATCAGGAGGTTGTTGGGCGAGATGACTTAATATCTTCAGCTTCAGCTTCATGTTCCTTCTTCACCCTAAACATAAAATAAACCATTAACCATAAAAATGGCTTCACCATATAAATTAGGCTATTAACTAAAAAAAAACGTTCACTTACATTTTATCTGATCAAGACTTGGATCACCAATGGATTATCAAAGACAATGTTCACCAAAAAAAAAAAAATAATGGAGTTTCACAATAATCTTGCAGACTCAACAAAATCTAAAGCAAACAAACAAATATTTTTCTACCATCAAAGAAATAGAGGGAAGGCAAGATGGAGGAAAGGTAAAGAGAAGTAACAGTCTTTAGGCGGAAAAGTGAGTGGAGGGAGAGAAAAGGTTTTTTGATTTGTGGACCTTCACTTAGAAAATAAAAAAATAATCTACTGTAATATGAGGGTCGTAAGTGTAATTTATAATGTGAAGCATTTAGGACCAGTCCAAGAAATGGGAGACCGGGTAAATATTACCCTTTTATCCTTTTTATCCCTTAACTATAACACTTTTATCCCTTAAATAATCAAAAAAATTCCTAAAAATATTCAATTTTTTATAAATAGTCCCAATTTTTATTAACAAAAAAAATTAAATAATGAATAAAATAAAAAAATTAAAAGAATCGTAAATAATGCTTCCAATTTGGTTAGGTTATAATATTTTTGGATTGGGTTCTAATTTTTTGGGTGACTCCAATTCGCTACATCAAAAAAATTCTACTGTCCAAAAATATTCAATATTTTGTAAATAACAACAAATAAATAGTGAATAAAATCAAATAAATAAATAAATTGTAAATAATGCTTTGGTGTGGTTATAACTGGTTATAACTTTTTTTGAATTGAGTTCCAATTTTTTGGATAAGTCGGATTAGCTAGATCAAAAAAAAAATCCTAAAATATTCAATATTTATAAATAGTTCCATTTTTTATTAACAATAAAATCAAATAATTCAAATAATTGTAAATAATGCTTCCAACTATTTGGGTCAGGCTTCATTTTTGGAGGTTACAACTCTTGAGGGAACGTTCCAACTTGTTTGAGGTTCCAACTTGGGATGGGTTCAAACAGTTGGGTGGGTTCTAACAGTTGGGGGAGGGGTCCAACTTTTTTGAGTAGGGTTCTAATTTTTTTTTTTGTAGAAGTTTCAACTGTTTTGATAGGGGTTCCAACTTTTTTAGGTTATGTTTCAACTTTTTTGGTTAGAGTTTTAATTTTTTGGGTAGAAGTTCCAACTTTTGTAGGTAGAGGTTCCAACTCTTCGGGTAGGGGTTTCAACTTTTTTGATTAGGGCTTCTAACTTGTTTTGGGGTGGGTTCCAACTTTTTTGATTAAGAGTTCCAATTTTTTTGGGTAAGGGTTCCAATATTTTTGAGAAGAGGTTCCAACTGTTGGGGGTAGGGTTCCAACTTTTTTGATTGAGGTTCCAACTCTTGTGGGAGAGTTCCAACTTGTCCAAAGTTCCAACTCTATAGGTGGGTTCTAACAGTTGGGAAGGGTTCCAATATTTTTGGGTAGGGCTTCCAACTTTATTTTGGGTGGGTTCCAATTTTTTTGATTAGGAGTTCCAACTTTTTTGGGTAGGAGTTTCAATTTTTTTGGATAGAGGTTCCAACTGTTGGGGGTAGGGTTCCAACTTTTTGATTGAGGTTCCAACTCTTGTGGGAGAGTTCCAACTTGTCCAAAGTTCCACCTCTATAGGTGGGTTCTAATATTTAAGGGAGGATTCTAATATTTTTGGGTAGAGGTTCCAATTATTTTGGGTAGATGTTTCAACTCTTGGGGTAGGGGTTCCAACTTTTTTGGGGTGATTCTAACTTTTTTGGGGTGAGTTTCAACTTTTTGGTTAGGGGTTCCAACTTTTTGGGCAGAGGTTTCAACTCTTAAAGCAAAGGTTCCAATTTTTTTAGATAGAGTTCTAAATTTTTCAGTTAGGGGTTTAACTTTTTTAGGTAGGTATTCTAACTTTTTGGGTAGAGGTTGTAACTCTTGTAGGGGGAGGGTTCCAACTTTTTTAGAGGGTCCAACTCTTAGTGGTTCTAACAGTTGGGGGAGGGTTTCAACTTTTTTGGGTAGAATTCCAACTTTTTTGGATAGAATTCTACCTTTTTTGGTTAGGGGTTCAACGTTTTTGGGCAGGTGTTCTAACTTTTTGGTAAAGGTTCCAACTCTTGTGGGGGGAGGGTTCCAACTTATTTGGGTAGGGGTTACAACTTTTTCGGTTAGTGTTCTAACTTTTTTGGATACGGTTCCAACGTTTTTGGTAGATATTCCAACTCTTGAGAGATTCCAACTTTTTTTGGGTAGGAGTTTCAACTTTTTTGGGGTGGGTTCTAACTTTTTTGAGTAGGGTTCCAATATTTTTGGTAGGGATTCAACTTTTTTTGAGTGAGTTTCAACCTTTTTGGTAGGGGTTCCAACTCTTAGAGAAGGGTTTCAACTTTTTGTGGGTAGAGTTCCTGAGAGGGTTCAAACTTTTTGGATTTAACGGTTGGAAGAGGGATTCAACTTTTTTGGACAGTGGTTCCATATATTTTGGGTGAAGTTATTTGTCAAGTCCTTCTCTTTTTTATTATCAGTTTAACAGGCAACCGATATCCACTTTTTTAAATTGATCAACAGTTATAAAAATAAAAAAATTATATCAATAACCCAAATAAAATGATGGTACAATACCGAAAAGTAAAATTCGGCTTAAAATATAGCTAGCATCAAAAGAAAAGTCGTAACTCCCCCACCCCTCCTCCCTAACCTAAGTAGGGTGGGTACATGTAGTGAACTCATTAATGTCCCTATCAGTAGAAAAGTACACCAAACCCAAACCCAAAACCATGCCCCTATATACCCCCACCTTTCCTCTGCTAAAAACCACATCTTAAGAAACACTAAGCCAAAAGAGAAAGAGAGAAAAAAATGACGTTTTGGACAGTGGTGTTGCTCTGTTTCTTGTTTATCGTAGGAGCCTTGTCTCAAGCCGATATCGGTTCGATCATCAGTAAAACCCAGTTTGACCAGATGTTGAAGCATCGAAATGATGCGGCTTGCCCTGCGAAAGGCTTCTATACTTACGATGCTTTCATAGCTGCAGCCAAGTCATTTGGAGCTTTTCTTACAAAAATGTTTGCTACCATGTCTGGATCCATATGTCAATGAGATAGTGGTGCTTTTGATTCGACTTTTATTTTGCTTGAAATTCAAGTTTAATTAATCCGGTCTTTGTTTTTGGTATTGTGTTTGATCGATCCAATATTACTATATGCCAGTTACGCTCTCCTGTATGTTCGAAAAATGACATGCATGGCCACAGTGCACCAGGGGAAAAGATAATTAGTGACACATATAAAGGAGCTAAACCCCAAGTTAACTAGCAAATGAAAAAAGAAAAAAAAAAGGGTCTTGTCACTTTAGGTTTGTAGAGGATCATAATCGTTTATGTATTCATATCCCGTATATGTCGAGGTTATTTCGATAAAATGAAAAAGAATATTGCATGACAACATGGTTACTTATATATTTTTGATGGATTAACATAGGTGGCTGGGCTACTGCCCCAGATGGTCCATATGCTTGGGGATACTGCTTCAAAGAAGAACAAGGCAACCCACCAGATTATTGTGTTGCAAATCAACAATGGCCATGCGTTCCGGGTAAGAAGTACTATGGTCGAGGCCCCATCCAAATCTCATAGTAAGTGTTTTCTTTTTCACTTTGGTTAGATAATCAACAGATTAGAGCATGTTTTGCCCTCTTCTTCTGAATTGCATCCATCACAAAACCTTAACTTTGTACTCGGACCTCTACCATGACTTGCCAGCAACTACAACTATGGTCCAGCAGGAAAAGCCATCGGAACGAATCTGCTAAACAGCCCTGAAACTGTTGCAAACGATCCAGTAGTTTCTTTCAAGACAGCGTTCTGGTTTTGGATGACACCCCAATCGCCAAAACCTTCATGCCATGACGTCATCACCGGAACATGGAGGCCATCGGCAGCAGATACAGCAGCCGGTCGTGTACCTGGCTATGGTGTGATCACCAATATCATCAACGGTGGAATTGAATGTGGTAAAGGTTCTAACCCACAGGTGGAGGATCGGATCGGTTTCTACAAGAGATACTGTGACATACTAGGAGTTGTTGGGTTTCCCTCCTTTGTGGGACTCATCAATTTGCTAATTTTTTGGTGGCTTACCCGTGTATGACTCTTATCCAAGACTTGGTTTGGAGTCTTCAAGTTAAAAGGAATTTGGCAGCCACCAAAGACTATAAGTTTTGTCCTTTTTTTTGGTTCATCTTTTCTCTGTTGGTTTGGCAAGAAGACATATTTTCGGCAGTCTTTGGTTCAACAAAAATTCAGCCTTCTTCTTCTCCTTTTTGGTGCCAGAAAAATCTGCAAATTTGTTCTTCAAGTGGGTAACATTTCTTCACTTGATATTTGGGTTTCTTGCGGTTTGTTTTTGGAGATTTGGTTCACTTATTTTGTGAGGTATTTTTCTCTTGTGATTTACACCTTGGTGTGTTTGTAAGGCTTATGCCTTTTGGCCACTTTGTAATCTGATTTGGTGATAGTGGAAGAAACTGACCTATCGGTCGTCGTGAATGTACCTCAAGTTATTTGAGGGAACCACGTAAATCTTGTGTGCTTATTTATTTTCTGTTATTTTATTTATATTGCTTCCATTGATTTACACTTGTGGGAAAGCCTATTTTCCCAACAGGAGTCGGCTATGGCAACAATCTGGATTGCTACAACCAGAGGCCTTTTGCTTAGGCATTTAAAGGGACCGCTCGAGCCGTCTCCAGAGTTGCTTATAGGAATAAAATGTTTCATACATGCCAGTAATGTAATGAAGCAGTAATTAGTCTGCATAGTTTGGCTTGCCAAAATAGTAATTTGGTGCCAAATATATGTTTGTATCAAGGAAATAATCAATAAAAATTTCTATATTTCAGATAAAATAATGCTAGATGAACTTGAAAAATAGACTTAATAATCTCAACCATTGATTTCACTATAGATCTCAGCATATATTGGGACCCACTACCTATTCAATGGTTGAGATTATCAAGTTTAAGTTTAGTTTTTAAGTCTAATACTACATGACATTTTAAGGATATCGGCGGCATTAGGGCTGTTCACTTGAGCCGACGGGTATAAATTTTTTAATTTCATGTTTCGAACTTATAAGTTAGCGAAAATTATTTCTTTTGTCAAATCTACATGAGTGAGGGTGATGTTTCGAGTCGAATTCTGTCCAAAAAGTCACGTAAGAATGTAGAATGTTTCACAAATTTTCAAACTTTAACTTAGTAATTTTTAGGTCATTTTTACAACTCTAATATCAAAATTTTTGGTTGCTTTTGCCACTAGACTATTAAAATATTGGGAGAATTACATTCAGATTTCTTGAAATTTGTAATTTAACTCTTTAAGACTATCTGACATTTGAAATATTATACACAGAACCTCGAGGTTTATACAGGTGTAACACTTAGATTCCTACTGTCAATATCTGTTAGAATATCCATTTGTAAAATGAATCAACTAAAAATGTATGATCTTGACCCATTCTTTTGTACGATACTGAAAAAAAATTTTGGTATTGTACTCTAATAATAGTTGAATCTTTTTTCATCTAACATGTGAATCTACCAAATGCACTATCCCATCAATTTTTTTTTGTTATAAGGTGTCTAAACTTACGCTGATTATTTCCTTGAACTCAAATATTGGTGACCGTAATCTGAGTGGATTTAAAACATGTTTCCTTGAGAAATAAAGATGGTTGACCATTTTAGACTGATGATTCTTTGTATTTGTCACATTTTTCAAATTGGAAAGCTAGTTTAACTAAATTGAGCTCTTTAACTTTAACATGCCATAAATTCATACATGGATGTCGCATTCGCAAATGTAATACATGTTTTGCATGCAGAATTTCATTCTTCACGCACTAATTATTGTGTTGTTAATAAATTTGTTGTAATGGGTGAATTTTGTGAGGTCACCATGCACTTTTGTATCTCAACTAAACTCATGGTCAAGGGCTTATAAAAATTGAAGACTGAAGTGAGATATGGTGAAGAAGCTCAAGCAACAAAACAACATGAAAACGACTTTTTGAATCTTATCAAGCTTAGGTTGGGTACGATGAGATAGATACCTAGTTGCCCTAATTTATTTTAACTTAGGCTAATTAATTAGATTTAGAGGGCAAGTATTTAATATGTACACGACTTCTATGGTTTTTGTGTTATAATGTTTTTTGAAATATTAGGGCTTTAGTTTTTGAAAACGTGTTTTGAAATAAATCATGGAATGGAGACGTTTTAGGTACCACCCCCTTGATACTTTTAGAGAGTTTAAGGTTCAAAAGTTGGATATTAGAAATTTGGCAAGAAACCTTAGAATCAAAATGATTTAGGATAAGTAAGACTAAAAATAAGAATATATAATGTAACTTTATTAAAATAAAAAATCGAAATCATGAAATAGTAAATATTGAAAATCAAGAGATACCAAAATGCAAACATTTTAAATATTTAAGGTCTATTAGTCATAAAGAGCAGATTGACTAAATGCTAGGACTAAATGGAGGAATGCATCCGGTGCGTCCGATTTATTGTGTGATAGACATATATCCCTAAAGTTAAAAAGAAAATTTTATAAAACAGCTAAGACCCAATATGCTCTACGAAATTAAGTGTTGAGCAACTGAGAAATAAAATGTTAAAAGTTGTGTAGCAAAAATCGGAATGTTAAGATAGATGTGGAATAAAACTAAGAAAGATAGAATTAGGAACGAATATATCCAAAAATAGTAGAATAACACGAATAAAAAATAAGTTAAGGGAGAATTTTTTTTTTTTTTTTTGATTAGTTAAGGGAGAATCGACTTAAGTGGTTTAAACATATTTATGGACAGCCTACTAAGGTACAAGTGAGAAAAAAAAATAACTTATGATTTAATTAAAAACATTGTACTGAATAGAGCTCAATAGCCTCGACCACAAAAACGTGGAGACATGGTTTTATTGAGTTGAGATATTCTTTCTGTGTGAACTTTTGGGTCTTTTTGTATGTAATCAACAGGATACTCTTTATTTTTCACTTGACCAATTGTAAAAGTATATGCGTTGTTCTCTCAACCAAAGAGTCCGTTGGGTTGGGTGATTTTCATGAAGTTGCAAAAGCTAGGTGCTATCCTTGGGGACAAACTGTCAAATTTAGGACTGCTTGCGCAGAACATAACACGGTCTCCTCCCCTATGGCACCAAGATATCCCAATGTAGTGCATGGAGCATATGCGAGTAATTTAGTACATGAGACTTTTGTCACTGCATTACTCGAGAAGGATCATATGTATACAAACTTTATTCTGTCACACATTGGTATGTAATCATGGAGAAAGAAATATGCGCGCGGTGGCAAAAAAAGCATCTCGTCTCTGTATAATGCTTCTGAGAAAATTCTCGGGCAAGTTAACTGCGTAATTGCATCTGCCTTGTTGAAGAAAACACAGTGCTGGAGGTTTCGTCATCGATTTTCTGAGTTATATTCCAACCAGAAATGAGAGCATGAATTAACAGGAGCCCAAGAATTCCGAGTCCTCAATTTTGTTTCCATAATGAAATGACACAAACTATATGTTAAAGTAGTGAATAAGTTAAAAGCTGTAGCTAAAATATTCTGGATGCATTGCAGCAAATAATTAACCACAATCCTCTTTGAAAAGAGTAATCAATTGGAAGTTACTAATAAGTAACTATTGATGAGAGTAAAATAGCCGAAAACAATGACTATAAAATGACATCTAGTGGAGAAGATAAATGATACACTCACATTTTCAATGACCCTTGATTTGGGTATTATTAGTATTAGTTTTAGATTATTTAGGAAACAGTTAGTACTATAATTAAGGCTGTTTATTTAGTCTTTCTATAACCGAAGTCATTTTGATTGAATTATTAAAGGAGTCTTTTCCTATTAGTTCTTTGTTCCGTGTGTTTATTCATTATTTTTCATCTATGAAAGTTATGAAATAAGACATTTGAACCCCTTACAATAGCTGCCTAAAAATTGTTTGTCGATTGCAATATTTATCGATCCCAACAAATTTGAAGCAACAATTATATAAAGTTAGTCATGATCATAAATTTTCAGTTGATTCAATTATAGCTATTAATTATACAAGTAATAACGTAAATAAAAAGAAAAAGAGGGATACAGTATAGAAGTATTATTTTCGATACCATAATTAAATCCAAATCGTTAAATTTAGATCTCGTCTTATCATTTTTTCCCCACGTTTCTTTGGTCACTATTGCAAAGTTTATATGGGAGCATGTGATGAAATTCAAACCCACAACTTATCGTTCTAACGGGCTGCACAGTCTTTAGGACACCGCTGACTTCTTCCCCACATCAATGTTACTGAAAATGAGTCGTTGCAAATGAGGCTTAAAGTGACAATGATCCAACCAGGAAAAGATCACATGGGCAGCCCGACACAAAATGAGGCTTAAAGTGAAAATTTAAATGAATTGTTTTTTAAAATATTAAACTAAAATAAATTTTTATTGAATAAATATCTAAAAATATAAAATGAGGCCTTAATGATTTTGGGTTTAAAATGACGGCTTCAATAGTTATACCATTGACTCAGCCTTTAAAATTGCATGGCCCTAGACGGAAATGTTAATTTAAGCCTTATTAATATTAACCATAAAAATATAAATAGTACTAAATAATTATCAAAATATTAAATTACTTTTTGACATGCCAAAATAATAATTGAATTTTTTAATTCAAGTTTTGTACATGATCAATTTTATAATAGAAGTCAAATTATAGACGAAATATGCAATCATGATTATTATCCGTTAAAAATAAAGAGAATTGAAATTAAAATTTTGTGTAACTAAAAATAAATTTTTTTTGAAGCAAATGTAAAATTAAAATTGTAGAGAACCAAAGCTATGTTTAAAAAAGAATATTTTAAGAAGACAAATGTGATTACAATTAGTTTGAAATAGCGTGATACTCCTACTCACTATTTTTGAGTTATTTTGTGCACTTCAGAAATTAATTAATAAAAAATCTAACTCATATTAGAACCGACCTTAATTTAATCTATACTATTAATAAAAGTACCTTAAATAAAAAACTTTTGATTATCTATTATTTCCTTATAAAATAATT